AGGGCGCTGGGCACTGCACGCCAACGAGGTGAGGAGAACGCTGTGATCCAAGGAAGCTGAGTTACAACCTGGAGTCACAGACGCTGCAAAGGGCCAACCCAAGGTCACACAGTGACCCAGTCCTTCCCAGAACCAGTAGTCTTTTGGGGCTTAAAAACATAAGCATAAAAATCAAAAACAAACTTTGCTTGGAAGCTGTCCGTGGGCAGTTGGCTTAGCTTACACCATGGGTTCACCAGCCAACTGTTTCAGAGGCCTGGGCAGGGGGCCACCTGACAGGATATACTGGGGAGCCAAGCGGGGACGGCTGCTTCTGGGGAAGGGATGGGCGATGACAGCCGTTCCCCTGCACGGTGGAGGGATGTGGCTCCCCCAGCGCCCTTGCTCTGCAGGGCTATTTTCAGGGTGAAGGTTATCTAGACTGTCCAGCCCAAAGCCCTCCGGTCCAAAGCAAATGCCAGAGACACGTTGTCCTTTCCACGGTGGAGGTGTTTCTCCCTTCCCAAACATCCTGTGCTAGTGTGGGAAGCACCTCCAAACAGAAAAGTCAAAAAGCTTCTCTATTTGATGGAGTCCACAGTCTACCCAGGAGCAGAGATGGGGAGGGAGGGATTGATGGAAGGTGAGACTGGGTCCAGAGCCTTCTGACACCCCTCAGCTAGGGTGATGCTATGCTCTGATGAGCTAAGCAACAGACTTGAGGAGTTAGTGTTTGGGGTTTCCCATGGTGCCATGAGAAGTCAGGCAAGGTCATAGAAGAAACAGAACATGAGCTGAGCCTAGCAGCTGGGCAAGCTCTGGATGCAGAAGGCAGAGGAATGTTCCTACTTTAAGGGGCAGAAAGGTGCAGTGACATAATGTGGCTTGTTATTCAGGCCAACCTTGACTCTTGCTCTATAGGACTCCCGAGATGAGCTCAGGGAACCTGGGGGAACTGTACAGGCATCGCTAGGTATGACCCCACCTAGAGGTCCCTGCCACCTCCCAGTCCACAAGGCAAACACTATGTGTTTTTTTTAAAGAATTAAAATTTTTTTTAAAAATTTATTTATTTAGGGTGCCTGGCTAAGTCTCAGACACTTAAATGGCTCAGTCATTTAAGTGTCTGCCTTCGGCTCAGGTCATGATCCCTGCGTCCTGGGATCAAGTCCCGCATTGGGCTCCCTGCTCTGCAGGGAGTCAGCTTCTCCCTCT